CACTGCAACTTCCGCCTCCTGGGTTCAAGTAATTCTCCTGTCTCAGACTCCCGAGTAGCTGGGACTACAGGTACCAGCCACCATGCCAAGCTAATTTTTGTATTTTTAATAGAGACGGGGTTTCACCATATTATTCAGGTTGGTCTCGAACTCCTGACCTCAGGTGATCCACCTGCCTCAGCCTCCCAACATGCCGGGATTACAGGTGTGAGCCACTGTGCCCGGCCTGTACAATGTCTTTATATTAATTACTACAAATCATTAAAGAAGACCTAAACAAATGAAATAATTTATCACATTCTTGGGATGAAAGGCTGATAATTTTCAAGGTGTCAGTTTCCCCCCAATATAGTGGTATAGGAAGCTTAAAAGTAAAAGGATAGCAAAAGATATACCATGCAAATCATAATCAAAATAATGTTCAGGTGGCTCTAATATCAGATACAGTACATTTCAGAGCAAATAGCATGGAAGAAAGGATGGTCTTTCAATATACAGGGTGCCAGGTCAACTGAATTTATATGAGGAAAACAAATCATGATTTCCCCTCATGACATACACAAAAATCATTTCCAGGTTTATATACCTACATGTGATAGATAAATATAGATGAAAATACAGAATGTCTTCATACTTTGGGGATAAGCAAAGATTTGAATAAGATAAAGAGAGTATACACCATAAGAGAAAAATGATAATGATCAGACATTTTAAAAAGCAATTTCTGTTCATCAGAAAAGAGTGAGTGGGCTGGTCACGGTGGCTCATGCCTGTAATCCCAGCACTTTGGAAGGCTGAGGTGGGCAGATCACCTGAGGTCAGGAGTTCGAGACCAGCCTGACCAACATGGAGAAACCCTGTCTCTACTAAAAATACAAAATTAGCCAGATGTGGTGGCACATGCCTGTAATCCCAGCTACTCAGGAGGCTGAGGCAGGAGAATCACTTGAACCCGGGAGGCGGAGGTTGTGGTGAGCCAAGATCACACCATTGCACTCCAGCCTGGGCAACAAGAGCGAAACTCCATCTCAAAAAAAAAAAAGGGAAGAGAGTGAGTGAAAATGCAAACCTTGGGCTAAGAGATGATATATACAATACACAAAGCTGACAAGGGACTCACATTCAGATTATACGAAGAACTCTGAAGGATTAACAATGAAAGACAAGTTCCCCAACCTCTAGGCTAAGAACTTGAACTGGCACTTCCCAAAGGAAGATACACAAATGGACAATGCACATGAAAACAAAAGCACTCAACTTCCTTAGTCGTCAGTTAGGAAAACCACAATGCAATATCACTACATATCCAGCATATTGGCAAACATTTTATAGTCTGACAATGCCATGTGTTAACAAGAAGATGGATCAATTGGAATTTGCATAAACTGTTGATGGGAACTTTTAACTGGTGCAGCCATTTGGGAAAACTGACAGTATCTGCTTAAGGAAATTCACATACTCTTACTAATTCCTCTCCTTGAAATAACCCAATAGAAATGCATACATGTAAACACAAAATGACAAGTGCAAGAATGCTCTCATCATGATTATTCATGAGAATAATGTCTTGTCTGTATATATGATAAACTTCAGTAAAAAGCCTAGTTAGGAAGAAATACAGCATATTACAAGGCAAATACAAACCAAAAAATAAGCAGAGGCCATGATCTTGAGCATGCTAAAGGCTGCAATTCATAATAAGCATATAACAATCATTAATATCTGTATATCAACTAACAAAACAACAACAACTTTCATAAAGCAAAAGTTACAGGTTATATAAGAAATAAAATTTCGGCCGGGTGGGGTGGCTCATGCCTGTAATTCCAGCACTTTGGGAGGCCAAGGTGGGCGGATCACAAGGTCAGGAGTTCGAGACCAGCTTGGCCAATATGGTGAAACCATGTCTCTACTAAAAATACAAAAAAAATTAGCAGGGCATGGTGGCACATGCCTGTAGTCCCAGCTACTCAGGAGGCTGAGGCAGGAGAATTGCTTGAACCCAGAGGTTGCGGTGAGCCGAGATCACATCACTGCACTCCAGCCTGGGCAACAGAGGGAGACTCTGTCTCAAAAAAATAAATAAATAAGGGCCGGGCGCGGTGGCTCAAGCCTGTAATCCCAGCACTTTGGGAGGCTGAGACGGGCAGATCACAAGGTCAGGAGATTGAGACCATCCTGGCTAACATGGTGAAACCCTGTCTCTACTAAAAAATACAAAAAACTAGCCGGGCAAGGTGGTGGGTGTCTGTAGTCCCAGCTACTCGGGAGGCTGAGGTAGGAGAATGGCGTGAACCCGGGAGGCGGAGCTTGCAGTGAGCTGAGATCCAGTCACTGCACTCCAGCCTGGGTGGCAGAGTGAGACTCTGTCTCAAAAGAATAAATAAATAAATAAATAAAATAAAAATAAAAATAAATAAATAAAATACAATTTCATTAATACATCTCTCTCAATCCAAGACAAATCAAGTGCAAAGCAAAAAGTAAGTATAGACTGACCAGATGTTAGATCACAAATAAAAGTTCACTAAGTTCCAAAGTTTAAAAATAACACAATATAGCAAAACTGTATATTATTGGTGAAGTAGGGACCTACTTTACTGGAAATGTTCGACATAATCAATAGAGGCTGAGGTCCTCTTATGTCACAGGGATCGAGACTCCTCCACAACACTGAGGCCAAGACACTATACCACTGTATTAGTTTTCTACTGCCATGAGGTAGTGGCTTAAAATAATACAAATCTATTATCATATAGTTCAGTAGAAGTCTGAGTTGGGTCTTACTAGGCTAAAATCAAGGTGTTGGTAGGGCTGTGTTCCTTTCTGGAACCTCCAGGGGAGAATTCGTTTTCTTATGTTTTCCAGCTTCTAGAGGCCACCAACATTCTTTGGCTCAAGGCCCACTTCCTCTATGTAGCCAGCAATGTGGCATCTCTCTGACCATTCTTCTGTGGTCACACCTCCCTCTGACTTTAAACTCAGCCAGGAAAGGTTCACCGACTTTAAGGACCTGTGTCATTATATTGGTCCAACAAGTTAATCGCCCCCATTTCAAGGTTCTTAACTTAATCCCCTTTGCAAAGTCATTTTTGCCATATAAAGTACCATAGTCCTAGTTTCCAGGGATTAGGAAGTAAACATTGGTTGCAGGGCCATCATTCTGCCTACCTTGACCACTTTTATGGCTTCTATCTTAAACTTCCTTCTGAGAGATACTCGGTGAAGGAAATAATGTATACAGTGGTCCATTTCCAAGACAAAGTGCCTTGAATCAGTGTAGGTAAGCAAACTACAGAAGAAACAGGATATACTAGGCCCCTGCTTGAATGCATGATGCCTACTTGTCAGCCTCCCGCTTTCTCCCTTTCCCCCACTTAGTTGCCTTCACCCAAACCAAAGTTTAGTCTAAGACGAAAGTTTGCTAGCCTGCAAAATAGCTCGTTTTGTCTGCTCTTATCAGCCTGCCCAGCTACTTAGGTCATAAGCCAAATACCTGAAGAGCCGCTGAACTAGCTAGGGTTGCAATGCATTGTGGGCTGCAACCAAATGCAGCCAGACAAGCCTAAAAAAACAAACACAGCCGGGCACGGTGGCTCAAGCCTGTAATCCCAGCACTTTGGGAGGCCAAGACGGGTGGATCACGAGGTCAGAAGATCGAGACCATCATGGCGAACACGGTGAAACCCCGTCTCTACTAAAAAATACAAAAAACTAGCCGGGCGAGATGGCGGGCGCCTGTAGTCCCAGTTACTTGGGAGGCTGAGGCAGGAGAATGGTGTAAACCCGGGAGGCGGAGCTTGCAGTGAGCTGAGATCCAGCCACTGCACTCCAGCCTGGGCGACAGAGCGAGACTCCGTCTCAAAAACAAACAAACAAACAAAAACACACCTGGCTGGGTGCAGTGGCTCATGACTGTAATCCCAGCACTTTGGCAGGCTGAGGTGGGCGGATCACGAAGTCAAGAGATGGAGAACATCCTGGCCAACATGGTGAAACCCCATCTCTACTAAAAATAAAAAACTTAGCTGGGCGTGGTGGCACGTGCCTGTAGGCCCAGCTACTCGGGAGGCTGAGGCAGGAGAATCGCTTGAACCTGGGAGGCAGAGGTTGCAGTGAGCCGAGATTGCACCAAAACAAAAAACACCTGAAACCCCTACCCAACAATCAATAGGCAATGCCCGGGAAGATTGTGACCCCATAGTACTCAGCCTATGAGGAACCAGGGGAGGAACCTGTGCACTAGGGGATAAATTGCTTGTTGAAACTGTTGGGTGTGCCTATCAGACACCGATCTTGCAAGACCATCATTAAAAGTCTCACTTTCGCTGTTCTCCGGGTCTCTTGAGTCCATTCTTTGGGACAGGTAAGTTTATTTCTCACACTCAAGAAATCATCTTTCACTACCCCAACGTTCTCTCTCCAAAAACTGACTTGAATCCAACCAGAATAAGTGTCAATCCAACCTTGTATTTACATTTGTCTACTATAAGAAGCCCCGAATTTCTAGTCAACTGTCTTTTCAGACACTGTACTCCATCAAGTCCCATTTGTCCTCTTTTCTCATTATTCCCAACTCTCAACACTTTTCCTGTATGCCTTCATAATGGAATTCATAATTCATTAACAACCAACCCCTCTTTTATCTTCAGCCACTTCCGTGAACACGTCCTAACATTCTGAGTCTAACAGAAACCAGGATCTATCTAGAGGACTTTGCAGCCCTCTCAACATTTCCCCGGCTACAGCCTCTTACCAGTGGGTCTGAAAATGGAACAGATGGCCGGCCTCCCTGTTGTTCATTACCTTCAGACCCTTCTCCCTCCTCCACAAACTCTAGTTTTGAATTTCCTGCCATGAGATTATATATAACTCACCACATGTCACTTTGTTGACCTCTACCAAACACAGGCTCCTCTCTGCAGCGCGATTATCCTTTTCTATTTTTTAAATTCTTGCATTTTTAACTACACCCACACAGATGAGCCTTGTTTACTTACCCTTGCCTGGACTTTTCCCCTCTCATGGCTCATTTCCAACATGTTGATGGGTTGTTTTCCCCAGCCCTCTTCCCCCACCTGCTGCTCCATTTCTCTGCCCTAATTTACTGAGAAACTCTTGAACTATGTTGTCTACACTGTCTCCCATTCTTCTCCCCTCCTTCTAGGTTGCCCTCACTCCAATCCAGCTACCGGCCAGCACAAAAACTGCTCCCTACACATTCACGAAGGACTATGTCACTCATTGCAAGGCTCAATTCTTTGTTTTTGGCCCCATAGCGGCTATCACCACCTTTACGAACGTAGTCACGCACAACGCGACGCAGTCATATGTATCACGTACATACAGTCACATTTAAATAGTCCATTAGGGTCACACACAGCGCCCGTCATCGTCGTGTGCGCGTACACGCGTGCGTACACACACACACACACACACACACACACACACACGAGAAGCTCCCGTCGCGGCCCCGCTCCTGCATCAATTTCGCTCTCGCATCCACGGCTCCCATCGCGATCGCTCGCCCCCACGCTCCCTGGCCGGCAAAGTCACCAACTCCAAAGACATTAGCACCTCACTCCCCTCAGCCCCGGCCTCGGGCCCTGCGGAGTCATTCGGCTTCTGTGTGTCAGAGTCACTCACCCGGCCCTACGGTCCCTTGATGGTGGAAGGTTCCGCGATCTCCCTATCATCCCTAAAGGCACAGAGCGCTGACAGGAAATTGCCCGGGGAACGGTGCACTCTGGGAAATGTAGTTCAGAGCCTGGGCCGCCTTTAATTGACTGGGACACCGCGGTCACCATTAACGAACCCTGGATTTGAGACCTATCCCCTCGCTGGGCAAAGACATCGCCCACACACCGCTCACATCTGCGGCCGAGAACTTCCAGAATCCCAGCCCGCGTTTAGGAGGCTTCAGCGGAGGCCTGCAGGCTGCCCTACCTCTGCAAACGGCGCCCAGCCCTGGGAACAGGACAGTAAGCCCAGGCCATCTTAGGCTGGAAGTAACCTTGGCCCCGAGGGCCTCTGGGAAATGTAGTCTAGAGCCTGGAACACTGCAGAAATGCCCCCGGGGGATGATGCGATTATTTTCAGCAGGAGCTCGCTGCGTGGGCCTCTGACCCATGTGGTGTGGCGGGAAAGGCCTACAAGACAGTGCCAAGCAAGTGGCTTGTCTGTCCCGTCTCTGCCCGAGCCTCGGCCCAGCTGGGTGGACACCTCTTATCCCACAAGGACCAGCCTGGGATAGAACGAAGGGGAAACGGTCCGTGGGACACAGCTACATGCGCAGCCCTACAGGGGTACCCTGCCTGGGAATCCATGAGAACCCCTCCTAATACCGTATTCCCATCCTCCAATCGCCCTTAAAGTGTTTGGTTTCAATTAATGTTTATAGTCACATTAGTATTGTTTTGTAAATTCTATTCATGCCATTTTTTTTGCTGAAGTACACATTTGCCAGTTTTTATTTGCTTCTCTTTTAGATGTACATCATTTAGATCTACAGCTAAACTTTCTGACAGAGGAGTAATTTTTTTCAGTACTTTCAAACTCATCAGATAATTAAAATAGTTTTCTTCTTTGTTTTTATTGTGAAACAGAAAATACTTGAAGTGCATAAAATGTGTAAGTTCAGTATAACTCCACACAAGTGTTGGTATCTCAAGAACAAATGTGATCATTTCTTTTTCTTTTTCTTTTTTTTTTTTTTTGAGACAAGGTCTGGCTTTGTCACCCAGGCTGGAGTACAGTGGCACGATCTAGGCTCACTGCAACCTCTGCCTCCCTGGCTCAAGTGATGCTCCCACCTCAGCCTCCAGAATAGCTGGGACTACAGGTGTGTGCCATCACACTCAGCTAATTTTTAGAGAGACGGGGTCTCACCATGTTGGCCAGGCTGGTCTCGAACTCCTGGGCTCAAGTGATCCTCCCATGTAGGCCTCACAAAGTACTGGGATTACAGGCGTGAGCCACTGCACCCAGCCTGTGTGATCATTTCTGATACCCAGCTCCAGTTCCAGCTGACCTTTAGGGTATTAATATCTTGGCTCTTTAATAGTTTTAATCTCTCAGCTGGACACGGTGGCTCATGCCTGCAATCCCAGCACTTTGGGAGGCCGAGACGGGTGGATCACCTGAGGTCAGGAGTTGGAGACCAGCCTGGCCAACATGGTAAAACCCTGTCTCTACTAATAATACAAAAATTAACTAGGCGTGGTGGTGCATGCCTGTAATCCCAGCTACTCTAGAGGCTGAGGCAGGAGAATCGCTTGAACCTGGGAGGCAGGGGTTGCAGTGAGCTGTTGCACTCCTGCCTGGGTGACAAGAATGAAACTCCATCTCAAACAAAGAAAAAAAAAAAGTTTTAATCTTACTATGAAATGTATATAAATGCAATCAAATCGTACAAATTTTGTCGTGATTAGTTTTTAAACTCCTAACTGGATTAACTGAAAACCCCATAGTAAAGGCCTTACAGAAAGAAAGGTATGCCCATCCAGCCATCAAGTCATTTTCCTGTTACTACTGGCAGGGGACCCCAAGACCAACCCCTACATCCCCAAGCTTTGATGATTCACTGGGAGGCTCACAGTGAAATGATACAAAAGAAAATCAGTAAAGAGAAAAGCACATGGGGCAAAGTCCAGAGGAAACCAGGTGCACACTGCGAAGGGTTCTTTCCCAGTAGATTTACATGGGATTTATTTGTTCCCCAGCAGTGAGTTGTGACAATACATGTGAGATGTTTCCCAGCAGGGAAGTTCATTACAGACTCAGTGCGCTATGTTTTTATTGGGGGCTACTCACATAGGCAGTCTGTGCCTAAGACACAACAGAATTTCAGATTCCCAGAAGGAAAGCAGGTGTTTAGCATAAACCATACTGTTTGTACAAAGGTTTAGGCATAGTAAGCCACTTATCAGGAAGGTGGGAACCAATCTGAAATTCAAGTTCTAGATGCACGCCAAAGACTAACCTCATATCAGGCCTTTCTAAAGATAAGTAGTCTCGGGCCTGCTATATTAATTAATTTCTGCTCACTACTGTCCTAAAGATGTATAGTTTTCAACAACAACATCAAATTACAAGACACATGAAAAGGCAAGAAAAGTCATGACACTCTCAAGACATAAAAGCAAAAAGCACTCACGCCTGTAATCCCAGCACTTTGGGAGGCCGAGGCGGGTGGATCACAAGGTCAGGAGATCGAGACCACGGTGAAACCCTGTCTCTATTTAAAAAAAAAATACAAAAAATTAGCCGGGCGAGGTCGCAGGCGCCTATAGTCCCAGCTACTCAGAAGGCTGAGGCAGGAGAATGGCGTGAACCCGGGAGGCGGAGCTTGCAGTGAGCCGAGATCGCACCACTGCACTCCAGCCTGGGGGACAGAGCGAGACTCCATCTCAAAAAAAAAAAAGCAAAAAGCAAAAACAAACAGAGGTAGACTCAGATAGGATTTCCCCAGGCGTTTGAGGCTGCAGTGAACTGTGATTGCACCACTGCACTCTAGCCTGGGCAACAAAGCAAGACCGTATCTCAAAAATTAAAAGAAAAGAAAACGAAAAGATATGATGTAGATGTTGGAACTATCTAAAAAGGAATTTAAAATAACTATTATTAATATTTTCAAAGCTTTACCATGATGTTTTTCAACCAGAGGTGATTTTGTTCTCCAGGAGATATATGGCAGAGTATGGAGAAGTTTTTGGTAGTCATAACTGGAGAGGTGCAATTTGCATTTAGAGGACAGAGGTCAGGGATGCTACTAAATACACTACAAGCACAGGATAGCTTGCCACAACAAAGAATTATCCAGTCCCAAATCATGGTCCAAGGTTGAGATGCCCTAAGTAATCAAGACAGTGTGTTTTGGTGAAGGATAGAAAGATGGATTAATGGAAGCAACAGGCTGGGCGTGGTGGCTCACGCATGTAATCCCAGCACTGTGGGATTAGTTCACCATTTGTGGACAGTAAATACTTACATAGACTCTGTGTTTTAATTACATTTCCTTAGATTCTGTATTAGTCTATTTGGCACTCATTCATCAAGAGGCCAATTATATTAACTATATTTTCTTATTTTCTGTATTCTTGATGCTCTGGCATTTGGCGACCTTACAAAAAAACAGGGAGAGGCTGCTCCTCTTGGGCTAATTCCTAAAGATAATCACAATTTTCCAGTGATCACAGCTTACATATGCAAACCAACCAATCCTGAGTCTATACCTCTCTGATACTGTGATGTAATAAGAAATATATATTTTGGTCTTCATCCATATCCATGGTTCTTGGCTCATGCATCCTAAAGCCCTTGTAGTTTCCTAAACAGAGTATTTTCTGTTAAAACACTTGTTCTTAGCCAGGTTCGGTGGCTCACACCTGTAATCCCAGCACTTTGAGAGGCCAAGGCGAGCAGATCACGAGGTCAGGAGTTCGAGACCAGCCTGGCCAACATGGTGAAACCCTGTCTCTACTAAAAATACAAAAATTAGCTGGGTGTGGTGACGCACATCTGTAATCCCAGCTACTCAGGGGGCTGAGGCAGAATTGCTTGAACCTTGGAGGCAGTGGTAGAAGTGAGCTGAGATTGCACCGCTGCACTCCAGCCTGGGCAACAGAGTAAGACTCTGTCTTGGGAAGAAACAAAACAAAAGAAAAACACTTGTTCTTTTGTCCTTGGTTATGTTCTGAATGTGTCCCCAAAATTCATATATTGAAACTTAATTGCCAAGGTGTTAGATTAAGAAGTGGAGCCCTTCACGCCTGTAATCCCAGCACTTTGGGAGGCCAAGGTGGGCGGATCACCTGAGGTCAGGAGTTTGAGACCAGCCTGGCCAACAGGGTGAAACCCCATCTCTACTAAAAATACAAAAATTAGCCAGGCTTGGTGGCATGTGCCTGTAATCCCAGCTACTCTGGTGACTGAGACAGGGGAATCACTTGAACCGGGGAGGTGGACGTTGCAGTGAGCCAAGATCACGCCATTGTACTCCAGCCTGGGTGACAGAGAGAGACTCTGTCTCAAAAAAAAAAAAGAAGTGGAGTCCTTAGGAGGTGATTAGATTATGAGGGAAGAGCCTACATAGATGGAATTTGTGCTTTAAAAAAAAGGATTGAGGAGGCCCGGTGAGGTGGCTCACGCCTGTAATCCTAGCACTTTGGAAGGCTGAGAAGGGCACATCACAAGGTCAGGAGATGGAGACCATCCTGGCTAACACAGTGAAACCCCGTCTCTACTAAAAATACAAAAACTTAGCCGGGCGTGGTGGTGGGCGCCTGTAGTTCCAGCTACTCAGGAGGCTGAGGCAGGAGAATGGCGTGAACCCGAGAGGCAGAGCTTGCAGTGAGCCGAGATTGCGCCACTGCACTCCAGTCTGGGCGACAGAGCCAGATTCCGTCTCAAAAAAAAAAAAAAAAAAAATGGATTGAGAGAATGAGTCCAGCCCTTCAGTACCTTCTGACAAGTGGGGACACAGCATTCCTCCCCTCTGGAGGATGCAGCAACAAGGTCCTATCTTGGAAGCAGAGATCAGACCTAGCAGACACCAATCCTGCTGGCATCTCGAACTTCCCAACCTCCAAAACTGTGGGAAATAATTTTCCGTTATTTACAAATTACTTAGTCTCAGGTATTTTGCTATAGAAGTACTAAGGGACTAAGACACTTCAGTTCCTGAAATAGCACCAGAGTAATAAATGTGAAAGATGTCTTTATTGTTCATAACCAACCCCTTTCAACCACAAGTGAGTTAATGAGGTGATGTTGGGAAAGCCCCTACATAACCACAGGATAGGGCAACCAAACATGTGATGAGAAGGTTGGAAAGTTCTGCCCTGCCCCGTGACTTCTGGGGAAAGGAAAAGAGTTGAAGGTTGAACTCATCACCAATTGCTGCTGATTTAATTAATCATGCCATTTAATTAATGAAGCCTCCATAAAAACACAAAGGGCTGGGCCGGGTGCGGTGGCTCAAGCCTGTAATCCCAGCACTTTGGGAGGCCGAGACGGGCGGATCACGAGGTCAGGAGATCGAGACCATCCTGGCTAACACGGTGAAACCCCGTCTCTACTAAAAAAATACAAAAAAACTAGCCGGGCATGGTGGCAGCGCCTGTAGTCCCAGCTACTCGGGAGGCTGAGGCAGGAGAATGGCGTGAACCCGGGAGGCGGAACTTGCAGTGAGCTGAGATCCGGCCACTGCACTTCAGCCTGGGTGACAGAGCAAGACTCCGTCTCAAAAAAAAAAAAAAACAACACAAAGGGCTGTGTTCAAACAGCTTATTTCCCAGACCTCCCACAGGCATTTTATTTTTTCTGTTCTTTAGGAGACATTGGTGGGGTAAACACACAAAAATGTGACTGCCTCATTCAACCAAGAGTCTTAGCCACAATTAAAAGATGTTCAGACGGAGCTGCACAGGAATGTGATGCTGGAGAACTAGAGCAACAGAGCCACATTAGGTATAGATCGCTTCCCTGTATAGTGCAAATTTTGTTGTTTTTGTTTTTTGGGTCTTTGTTTGTTTTGTTTTAAGGAGCGGAGAGTTTAATAGGCAAGAAGGAAGGGAGAAGACAGTAGGAAGAAGTTCCCCCATACAGAGATGGGGTGTGGGGGTGGGGGGACTGCGATCTCAGTTCACAGTAACCTCTGCCTCCCAGGTTCAAGCCATTCTCCTGCATCAGCCTCCCTAGCAGCTGGGATTACAGGCGCACACCACCATGCCCGGCTAATTTTGTATTTTTAGTAGAGACGGGATTTCGCCATATTGGCCAGGCTGGTCTCGAACTCCTGGTCTCAAGTGATCCACCCGCCTCGGTTTCCCAAAGTGCTGGGATTACAGGCGTAAGCCACTGCACTCATGCTGTTTTTTTTTTCCTTTTTCTTTTTTTTTTTTTTGTAGGGAGTATGCTGTTCAGGCTGGTCTCAAACTTCTGGGCTCAAGTGATCCTCCTGCCTCAGCCTTCCAAAGTGCTTGGGGTCACTAGGCATGAACCACCATGCCCGGCCTTTCCTGCCATTGTTAAAAGCTTCAGGATTAGATTTTACGTCAGCATTTCCTGTTGTAAATGCTGTAATTTACTTCCCACCATCATATTTCAGCAACCTCTACCACCTCCCAAAGTTTCTAGCTTAAAAAGTTATTGATTTCCTCCTAGTTCCCCTTTCTGTCAGTTTTTTAATTTTATATTTGTTTTCAAATGAGTCATCACATTGATTTTAAAAATTTGAACAAGATTATAGTGAAAAAAGGAAGTTTCCCTTTCACAATTTATCTTCCCCATATGCATAATGACGGGTTTTTTTTTTAAAACTACTTTGAGTACTCATACTGATTTTGTTTTCTAGTTCAGAAGAAATGTCTGAATGTTAAATGTTTACATAGAAATGCTATTTTATTATATCAATAATGGAGCTTCCCCCCTTTGAAATTGCTGCTCCAGGAAGATACAACCTTATCACAATTTAAAGAGAAAATGAGACTTGGAGGTTCAGATTCCTCCACAGTCACAGTATCAGCTCTCCATGCAGTGACCCACATTTAGGTGATTACACACATTCACACACAGATCCATACACGATCTTGCCCCCAACCTCCACACACTCCATATGACCTCCCCACCCGCAAAGGTGCACACATCTTGACCTCACCTTTCTCACACATGCACCAATTTTACTGGCACGCAGTTTCTTTCACTCAACTACCCAGACACCCCTCATCTCACCAGCACAAGCAGTCCACCGCAGTCTTACACACACTCGAGCCTTCCTTTGCCCAGTCTCGCATGCGTGACTGGGATCGCGGATTTGTCCCCTTCCGATTCCCCATCCTGGTTCGGTCTCAGACGCTCAGGTCCCATATTGGAGTGCACTCTCCCAGCTCCTCCACACGCTACGCAGCTGCCCGCCTCAAGAGCGTCTGCATGCTTCCAGCATTAAGTGGAATTCCGAGCAGCCTCCGGGGCACAGTTAGTCTAGTCACTGCGGCCAGACTCCCGCCTCAGGACCCAGAGGACGCAGCCCACTTTGGCTGGGCCCATCCAGTCTCCGGCGAGGCTTGGACTACGTTTCCCAGGAGACTTTGCGGTCCAGTATGTCTCCCGGGGAGGGGCGGAAGCCCGGGAGCCGCCCTCTGAGGCTGGGCGGGGTGAAAGAAAACTTACTCCAGAGGAGTTAAACAGGCAAGAAGGACTTGGTTAAAGACTATTGCAATAGTCAACTTCCAATACAACAGTAGCTGGAGATTTATAACTAACGGGCTGGGTGAAGGAGTTAAAGCATGGTAAATTACTAAGAGGAACTCAAGTATCAAGGGTGGGAGGATTGTTGCTAAACTGGCTTAGCTGGATTCTTGCTGATTCGCAGGCTATGGAGGAGGTCTGGCCAAACAAAAAGGGCTCAGAGGAGCCTGACTAAAGCTTGGTCTAGGGAGTCCTTGTCAGGTGAGACTCCCGGAAGGCTCCGATGGGCAGCTCACCTCAAATATTTAGTTTTGTTGGTGCCAGATTCCGCGCCACGGGAATCGGGATGGCTGGGCTGTGTAGCTTTCGGCAACCTGTCGCTTTCTGGACTACACTTCCCAGAAGCCTCTAGGCTCAGGGCTCTCTCCCGCGATAACTAGATTGTCTCTTGAGGAGTGGGCGGGATCTTCCCGCGGGTTTGGGTTGGCGGCCTTGGGGCTTTGTGAGATAGATGGGGTCGACTTGTTTGGATTCCAGTGGAGTGGAGCTGACCCTACCCGAACAGGCGTAAGTGAGGCTGCTCGGAGCCTGGGGCGAGAGGAACTCCCGACCTGTGTGGGCTGCGTAGGGAGCAGGCTAAGGAGCGATTTTGAGGAGTGTGTACGGTTGTGACTGGGGGTGTCTCTATGGTGGGCGTGTGGCTGTGCGACCGTGTATGGAACTGTGAGGGCGGGGAGGACTTTTTGTTTCTGTTTGTGCGGGTGTGAGTGGAGTTTAGTTGTGACCGGGTTGGACACTGTGTTTGCGAGTGTGAGGTTCCTGGACCGCGGTTGTGACTGTGTGTCCCCTTTGCGTATGTGTTTGTTACCATTTGCGGAACTGTGTATATGCGTTAATTGTGAGGTTTGTGGCTGCTTCCATGTGTGTGTGCGCGCGCGCGCGTATTGGTGATATTGTTGATGTAGGGTGCGTGTGACTTTGTTGTCATTGCGACCCCAAGGCGTATGTCACTGGGAGTTTGAGTGAGAGATGTCCACGGACTCTGCAGTTGTGTCCGTGTCTGCCCCCGTGGTGTGTGTGAGTGTGTGATTGTGTGACCATGTGCAACCTGTTGTGTTTAGGTTTGGGGTGCCTGTGACGTTTATGTCCCCATGGTGTGAGTGAGTGAGTTTGTGTGACTATGTGTCTATATAGCCAATGTAGGTATGGGGAGTCTCTGTCTTTGTGACTTCAGCCACTGGAGACCTCTGTGAGCTCAGAAACAGATTCTGCCCAGAACGGCATTGACCCTGCCCGGATTGAGCAGGACGTCCTAGACTTCTTTGACTTTACTCTGTAGGTGGTGGGGAGTAAGGTAGCCAAGATAACTTCTGACATAGTCAAACCGGATCTCTCTCAGAAGAACCTGATGTTTCCTGACTCCTTTCTCCTTCCTCAGCTCTGCCCTGCTTGGATAGAGACCTCCGGAGAGGAGTAAAGAATGACTGTTGAACATCCTCAAGGCATCTGCAAGGTAGCTTGTCCTTTCCTCTTGTTTCCTGAAATCCCTTTTTCTTTATCAGGACATAGTTGCTTTCCTTCTCTTGAAAATTCTTGCTTATCAGATGACCTGATCCCTGGAATTTCCCTTTTGAGAAAATGTGGTGTCTTCAAACCCCACCTCCAACACCTGATTTTCTCTTACTGATTTGTCAGACAATTTTAATTTTTCTTTTTTTTTCCTCTCTCTTTCTTTTATTTATTTATTTATTTATTTATTTATTTATTTGAGACAGAATCTGGCTCTGTCGCCCAGGCTGGAATGCAGTGGCGCGATCTTGGCTCACTACAGCTTCCACCTCCCGGACTCAAGCAATTCTCTTGTCTCAGCCTCCCGAGTAGCTGGAATTACAGGCATATGCCACCAAGCCCGGCTAATTTTTCTATTTTTAGTAGAGACAGGGTTTCACCTTGTTGCCCAGGCTGGTCTTGCACTCCTGGGCACGATCTATCCGCCTGCCTAAGCCTCCCAAAGTGCTGGGATTACAGGTGTGAGCCACCGCACTCGGTTTTAATTTTTCTCTATGCTATCTTTTTAAAAAATGTGATTTCTTTCAGATTATAAAAGTAAAACATGATTGTTTTAAATAATTTCAAAAGTACAGAAATCCCTGATGTAGAAAATTTATATATGTACATAAAACATAATTGAATTCATGCAGCATTTGCCATTTTATATCCTACATTTTCACATAAAATTAAATATTTTCCCACATAGTATATTTTGAAAATATTTTTAGAGATCCATAACATTTATTTGAATGCCAACAGCTTTTTTCTTCAAATTCGGTAGAGAAATGGGACCCACTCGTGCAGTTTAATAAGTAAAACACCCACTTGTTCAGCTTAACAAGTAAAATACAGGCCGGGCGTGGTGGCTCAAGCCTGTAATCCCAGCATTTTGGGAGGCCGAGACGGGCGGATCACGAGGTCAGGAGATCGAGACCATCCTGGCTAACACGGTGAAACCCCGTCTCTACTAAAAAATACAAAAAACTAGCCGGGCGAGGTGGCGGGCGTCTGTAGTCCCAGCTACTTGGGAGGCTGAGGCAGGAGAATGGCGTGAACCCGGGAGGCGGAGCTTGCAGTGAGCCGAGATCCGGTCACTGCACTCCAGCCTGGGCGACAGAGCAAGACTCCGTCTCAAAAAAAACAAAAAACAAAAAAACAAGTAAAATACCAACTTGTGCAGTTTAACAAGTAATTATAAAGATCCATGTAAGGGGTACCCAGATCAATAACTAGAATACCTCCATCACTGAAGAAGCCTCTACTCTACTCTTCCACAGTCACAAACAACACTGTGCTTCTGTGATGATAACCACTGTGGTCATTTCTTTGCCCTTCATTAGAGCTTTAGTACCTATGAATTAATCCCAAAGGCATAGAAGTGCAATTTTTGTTTGTTTTCTAACTTTGTATGAATAGACATTCTTTTGTTTCTTTTTTTCACAAAAGACCATAATAAAAGTGACAGTTAATTTTTTTTTTTTTTTTTTTGTGAGATAGGGTCTTGCCCTGTCACCCAGGCTGGAATGCAGTGGCGAGATCTCGGCTCATTGCAATCTCTGCCTCTTGGGTTCATGCGATTCTCCTCACTCAGCCTCCAGAGTAGCTGGGATTACAGGCACGTATCACCACACCCGGCTAACTTGTGTATTTTCAGTAGGGACTGGGTTTCGCCATGTTGGCCAGGCTGGTCTCGAACTCCTGACCTCCGGTGATCCACCCTCCTCAGCCTCCCAAAATGCTGGGATTATAGGCAAGAGCCACTACACCCAGCTAACAGTTCATTTTTTATTGCTATATGTATACTATCCCATTATATGGACATACTATAATTTACTTACCTTCTACTCTTTTTTGTTTGTTTTTGAGACGGATTCTCGCTCTGTTGCCCAGGCTGGAGTGCAATGGCACGATCTTGGCTCACTGCAACCTCCGCATCCCGAGTTCAAGTGATTCTCCTGCCTCAGCTTCCCAAGTAGCTGGGATTACAGGTGTGTATCACCAGTCCTGGCTAATTTTTGTATTTTTAGTAAAGATGTGGTTTCACCATGTTGGCCAGGCTGGTCTTGAACTCCTGACCTCAGGTGATCCGCCTGCCTCAGCATCCCAAAGTGCTGAGATTACAGGCATGAGCCACTGTCCCTGGCCTTATCCTTCTACTCTTGATGGACATTTATCTTGTCATTTTTGGCTACTATAGGCAGTGTGACTATGATCATTTTGTGTGCATATTTTAGTACACATTTGCTTGCATTTCTGTAGGGTATATACCTAGTGATTAAATTGCTAATAGTGGCTGGACACGGTGGCTCATGCCTGTAATCCCAGCACTCTGGGGGGCCAAGGCAGGCAGATCATGAGGTCAAGAGATCGAGGCCATCCTGGCCAACATGGTGAAACCCCATCTCTACTAAAAATACAAAAGTTAGCTGGGCATGGTGGCGTGCATCTGTAGTCCCAGCTACTCGGGAGGCTGTGGAGAATCGCTTCAACCCTGGAGGCAGAGGTTGCAGTGAGCCGAGATCATGCCGCTGTCCTCCAGCCTGGCAACAGAGTGAGACTCCATCTCAAAAAAAAAAAAAAAAATGCTGATAGGTAGGGTTTGTACATCTTCAGTTTTACCAAACATTGCCAAACTGTTCTCTAAAGATACTGTACTTTTGCCAGCAGTTTACAAGAGTTTTCTTAGCTCCACCTCCATGCTAGCCCTTGGCATCATAAAACTCTTAAATGTTTGCCAATCTGGTGGGTGTCTAATTTATATTTAATTTAAATTTCCTTTATTACTAATCAAGTTGAGCACTGATTCTTGGCCATTTGAATATCCCCCCACCTTTTTTTTTGAGACTGAGTCTCTATTGCCCAGGCTGGAGTGCAGTTGAATGTCCCCTTTTATAAGATGTTGTTCAAATATTTGACCAATTTTTAATTGGGTTGTTTTTCTCTGATTTGCAGCAGTTGTACATATGTGTATATATCTTCTGTAAATTAATCTTTTTTTTCAGTTGTATGTGTGATAAGTATTTTCGCCTGCTCTGGTTTGGCTTTTCACTCTATGTGGTACCTTTTGACAAACAGAAGTTTTGGGTTTCATTTTAATAATATCATTTCCTATGGTTAGTCTTGTTTAAGAAATTTTTGTCTACCTTAAGGTAATGAAGATTTTCTTTGGTGTTAAAGACAAAAACTTGCTTGACTGCCTTCCTTCCTTCCCTCCTTCCTTCCTTCCTTCCTTCCTTCCTTCCTTCCCTCCTTCCTTCCTTCCTTCCTTCCTTCCTTCCTTCCTTTCCTTCCTTTCCTTCCTTTCCTTCCTTCCCTTCCTTTCCTTCCTTTTTTTTGACATAGAGTTTAGCTCTTGTTGCCCAGGCTGGAGTGCAGTGGCCTATCTCCGCTTACCGCAACTCTGCCTCCTGGGTTCAAGCGATTGTCCTGCCTCAGCCTCCCGAGTAGCTGGCATTACAGGCATGCACCACCACGCCTGGCTAATTTTGTATTTTTAGTAGAGACAGGGTTTCTCCATGTTGGTCAGACTGGTCTGGAACTCCTGACCTCAGGTGATCTGCCTACCTCAGCCTTCCAAAGTGCTGGGATTACAGGCGTGAGCCACCGCACCCAGCCAAGCCGAAAACTTTCTGGATTTTGGCTTTAACGTTTAGGTCTTTACACCACCTGGAATTTTTGTAGGGTAGGATTCAATTTCATTTTTCCCCCAGGTGTGTATTCAGTTATTATGGTATCATTTATTGGAAAGTTAATATTTTCTGCACTGATATGCAGCGCCATTTTAGTAAAAAAATCAAGTAAACATGTATGTCTATGTCTATTTCTGGATTCTGTTCCGCTGGTCTATTTGTTACTCCTCACAGTAATACCATACTGTCTTACTCACTGTAACTTTGTATTTGGAGCAAGTACACTCACCTTCTTTTTCCTCAAGAGTGTCTAGGCTGTTTGTATTTCTTTGCATTTTCATGTCAATTTTTGAATTAGCTTGGTTGCACCCAAACGTCTCTTGGAATTTTGATGAAATTGCATTGTATGTATAATTTTATGAGTAGAAATTTGGAAACTCTTCTACACTTGATCTTAACCAAAAGGCCAAGAGACAATGGGGCACTCTTCTAATAACATGAGCCTCTCAGTTGATGTAGGTCTTAGTGTTTCTCAGCAAGGTCTTGCTTATCTCCTATAAATAGTTCTAGGCAAGTAGGAATCACATAATTCATTGTACAGAGTATTCCTTTGGCATTGACTGTCTGGAATCTGAGCAGTTCAGATAATGATCAATCATCATTTTAGCCTGGGTTTTTTTTTGTTTTTTTTTTTTTTTTATTGAGCACCTATCTCCTCCTCCCTGTCCTTGTCCTCCTCCTCCTCCTGCTCCTGCTCTTCCTCCTCCTCGGAAAGCAGCTTTATTAGAAAGACTGAAATGTGTGGTAACTTGAACAGCTAGGTTGTACAAGAAAGGAATTGAAAATTCCCTTTCTGATGTCTTCCAAAACTTGAATTTCATTTAAATGCACCTTGTTCTTTCCTCAGACCTCTAACTTCACCCTGGAGTTGAGCAGAAACATAGCTTGCCTTTTCCCTCAAATCAATCTTGGACTCCAGACAAAGGGTTGGACCTTTGAGCCAATAAGCAGGTTACTGGTAACAGTACCTGAGGAAAGACAAAGCTGTGGGTGAGACGTTCTTTATATACGGTATCCTCCCACTCCTATCTTCTCCAGCTCTTTATGTATTAATATATTTTTAATATTTTCTTTTATTCTTGGACTCCTCAAATACATTTTTGGAAGTGGGGCATATGAAAATTAGGTATAGATTTACATATAATGTAGATATTTATTGCCTAATATTTTTGTGTTGGTAACATCTGGTACAATCAAGCCTGCTTTTTATGGTATCTTTTACTCTCTTCACTTGCCACGTTTCTTTTTTTTTTTTTTTTTTTTTGAGATAGAG